TTTTTTGCCATTACCTCAAACATTTATCATTTCTTTGTGTTGGGAACATTTCAGCTCCTCTCTTCTAGTTTATTCAAAGTATACAATAAATTGTTAATTACAGTCACCCTACAGTGCTGTACAATAGATATTATTCCTCATCTAGCTGTGATTTTGTATCCCTTAACCAACCTCTTGCTATCCCTTTCCCCTTTCCAGCTTCTGCTAATTGCCATTCTACTCTGTTCTTCTATGAGATCAACTTCTTAGCTTCCAGATATGTAGATATTTTCAAGCATGACTTTGTAAGGAAAGAAGGAAGTTAAGAGAAGGCAAGAAAACACAAGAGGTGGTGGTAGGATCATTTGCTCTGAAGTCCTGTGCCCTGGCCTTTGACTCAGTGTCCTCTCCTACACAGTGGGAGCCCATCACCGCTGACAAGGGTATGGGAAAGCTTGGTCACTGTGGTCAGTACTAGCTCTGTCATTAGGAACAGCTATGTGTCCATGTGGTAGTCACGGTATTGTTCACCAAATATTCTCCATTCTCTGCTTTCTATCTACAAGGTAGACTTGGATTTCTTGACCACCTTTGTGTGGTTGAAGCCATCAATTAAGTGAGAATACAAAGTGTTATGTGTGATTTCTGAGTCAGCGTGCTGCCATGCAAGACCCTCAAGAGCTTTCTTGTCCTTTGTCACAGCAACAACCAGCAATATTCCCAAGTGTTGCTGCATCATCAAGTCTATAGTGCAGAAGCCTGAGCCCATACATCACAGCTATTTAGTACAAGGGAGAAAAGAGCCTTTGTTAATCTAATTAATTTTGTTAGGTTACTGATAATTTCGGGTGGTTTGTTACCACAGCCCACACTAGCTTATTGGGATCTATATAGTCAGTAAATGTAAGTCATCAGAGGATGGAAAAATGAGTTATGGTACAAACTCCTAGATATTTTTTCCCAAACAGAATCAAAATAAGTCACCTCAAGAGATTCCCCTGGGATCTCATCCCTTTCTCTTAATCACTGTCTCTGAAAGCTGTCCTGGAGTCTAGTAAAAATTCTGGGTCTCCAACTAAAAGATTTTCTTTCGCTCCACCACTGCCAAAAATGCACACCCTGCCTCCAGTAAGAGAGGGCTTTCCTTTTGTGTACCCAATACCCAAACAGTGTGAGGGCAGCTGGGTCGCAGATGCACTCAGCATCTCTCTCAATACTCGAGTCAGAGCCTGGGCTTCCAGTCTGGCTCTTCCAGTGCCTGGATGTGAAGTTGGGGCATTTCTTGTTCACCCATGAGACCTGTTTTCCCATCTTTAAAATGCAGGGTTGCATGCAGTGAGTCTCTGAAGATTCTTGCTAATCTGATATTCTGGGAGTGGTTAACTTTCCCATAGGGAAAGGGGGCTTACCTGGCTGAGCAACGAGCTGGGTACTGAAGGCGGCTGCTGTGAGCAGCAGGTACAGAAGCGCTGTGGAGACCTTCATGTCGAAGAGTGAAGGGGCGAGCTTCAGTGTGAGAGTTGGAGGTTTCTGGGCTGGTCTGAGCCTCTCTGCTCCTCCGGGTGTTCTGCCTGCCTTTTATAGGGAGCACACAGGGTGGGAGTTTCCTGGGAAGCTTTTGTGTACACAGGATCATGATCAAGTTGAGGTGAAGGGGGCCCTGAATTGCTGGCCAAGTTCCAGTTCCTGGGAATTTAGCAGGACAGAGGAGAGGCGAACCAGTGGGTGGGACTTGGTACATTTTCATCAATCCTGGTACTTGGAGCAGGGAAGGAAGGAAGTATGTGAATATGAAATGAGCTTAAAAATCTGTAGCAGGGAAAAGAAGCAAAGAAACCAAGGGCATGTGAGATAGGTTCATCAAAGAACCTTCCTTGGCCCTTGTGTTCAGGTGGTGGTCTTCAGGAGTGGAGGCCAGGAAGGGGCCCTGATGCTTCCATTACACTCCCACCCAGATGCAGACAGTGCTCAGCAGCTCTGAACATTGCTGGGTCTCTGTGACCCAGGGAGGATAGCACATGAGAGCCTTGCCCCTCTAATTTATTTCAGTGATCATAGAATCTTAGTGCCCTGGAATTTCAGAGTCATGGGACACCAGAACTGAATAGTTCC